AGGAGAGAGAGAGAGAGAGAGGGAGAGAGAGAGAGAGAGGAGAGAGAGAGAGAGAGAGAGAGAGAGGAGAGAGAGAGAGAGAGAGAGAGGGGGAGTACGAGCGAGCCGCAGCCGAGAAGGACGGACGTGTGGACGACGATGCGCCGAGTACCACTGGATGAGGACACGTGAGACGACTGGACGAACCGAAGTCAAGGAGGACCCTGGGCGAAACCTTCGAGGACGTGTGGACGTCGATGGACGGATGGATGCACCAAGGACCAAGAGAGAGGGGTGAGAGAGAGAGGTGAGAGGAGAGAGGGGAGAGAGAGAGGGGGGTGAGAGAGAGAGGGGGGGAGAGAGAGAGGGGGTGAGATAGAGGGAGAGAGAGAGGGGTGAGATAGAGGGGAGAGAGAGAGAAAGAGAGAGAGAAGACAAAACAGAAAAGAATACAAAACAAACAGAACAATACACCCTAAACACAATCCCCAGAACAATGAACACAAACCAAAGCAAGGTTAAACAAGAAACAGACAACGAGAAAGAGAAGAGACGAAAATAGCCAAAAGAGAGAAAAGAGAGGAGGAAGATTGACGCGTAGTTCATGGCCAACCGAGCAGGCGAGTTCACTGAGTACTCCGGTCTGCGTATGAGCCGTCGGCAGAGGGCGGCGGCCGAGAAGGGCGGCGAGGAGAGGGGAGAGGAGAACAGAGGGAGGAGAGGAGGGAGAAGGGGAGAGGGAGAAGGAAAGGAGAGCGGAGAGGGAGAGGGAGAGGGAGATGAAAAGAGGGAGAGGGGATAGGGAGAGGGAGAGGGAGAGGGAGAGGGAAATAGAGGGAGAGAGGGAGAGGGAAGGAGAGAGAGAGGGGGGTGAGAGAGAGAAGAGACAGAGGGGGGGATGGAGAGGGGAAGGGAAAGGGAGAAAGGAGGATAGGAGAGGGAGAGGAAGGGAGAGACAAGAGAGGGGATGGAGAGGGAGAGACGGAGAGGGGGGAAGGAGGGAGGGAAGGAGAGAGAAGAGAAAGGGGGATGGAGAGGGAGAGGGAAGGGAGAAAGAGGGGAATAGGAGAAGGAGAGGAAAGGGAGAAAGAGGGGAATAGGGAGAAGGAGAAGGGGAGGGGGAGAGAGAGAGGGGAGAGGGAGGCGAGAGGAGGAGAGGAGAGAGAGAAGAGAGAGAGAGAGAGAGAGGAGAAGGAGAGAGAGAGAGAGAGAAGAGGAGGAGAGAGAGAGAGAGAGAGAGAGAGAGAGAGAGAGAGAGAGAGGAGAGAGAGGGATGGAGTGAGAGAGAAAGAGAGAGAGGAGAGTGAGAGAGAAAAAAAGAAGATTGATTTTTTGTGGCGAGAGATACGAAAGACTTTTGTGAAAAGTGGGGGATTAGAATGAAAGTGAAAGTGAGATGGACAAAAAGAATGTGATAAGGATGTGTGCGTATGTGTGTGTATTTGTGTGTGTTTAGTGTGCAGACAGATAGATGATAAGATAGATAGACAGATAGATAAGATAGATAGATAGAGAAGAGAGAGAGAGAGAGAGAGAGAGAGAGAGGAGAGAAGAGAGAGAGAGAGAGAGAGAGAGAGAGAGAGAGAGAGAGAGAGAGAGAGAGAGAGAGAGAAAGAGAGAGAGAGAGAGAAGAGAGAGAAGAGAAGAGAGAGAGAGAGAGAGAGAGAGAGAGAGAGAGAGAGAGAGAGAGAGAGAGAGAGAGAAGAGAGAAGGAGAGAAGAGAGAAAAAGAGAGAGAGAGAGAGTGAAGCGAATCCGAGCCCGAGAGAGACCGAGAAAAAAAGGGTTAGTGTATAGCGTACTGAAGCAACAAGAAAAAAAAAGAAAAAAGAAAAAGAGTGAGATTGTGAGAGCAAGAGGATTAAAAGCCATGATCCCTACCTTTTTCGAAGCTATTCGGTTGTTTTTCTACTTTTTTCGTTATTTTTCTACTCTTTTTCGTTGTTCTTCTACTCTTTTTCGTTATTTTTCTATAGAGTTTTGTCGTCGTTTTGATCGTATTGACCTTGTGTTTGTTACGAAGGGTGTTTTTTGTTTCTCTCGGACGTGTGCTTGGTTCTCGATGTGGTTCTCTGGTTCATATTCGTCCTTTTCTCTTTTTTTCGTTATTCGTTATCCTCCCCCCCCCTCTTTTCTCTCATTCTGGATTTGTGTCTTTGAGGATTTTGTTGGCTGTGTCTGTTTTCTTTCTCTTTCTGTCTGTCTGTTTCTTCTCTCTCTCCTTCTCTCTCTTCCCTTTCTCTTCCCCCTTCTCCTCCCTTCTCTTCCCTCCCATTTGCTCTCCTATTCCATTCTCACTTTCCCTTCAACTTCCTCTCTCTCCCTCTTCTCTCCTTACTTTCTTCCCATTCTCCCTTATCCCCCCTTTCTTTCACCCTTCATACGATACTGAACATCTCCAAGTCATGGTCATTTAATCCGCCTGAAGGAAATAATTTTTTTTTTTTTTTTTTTTTTTTTTTTTTTTTTTTAGGGGAGGGGGGGTAGGAGTGAGAGAAGAGGGGAGGTTGGAAGAGGGAGTAGGGAGGTATGGGGTGAGGAGAAGGGAGAGGAGGGAGTATAGAGGAGAGGGAGAGAAGGGGTAATAATATAGAAGATAGAGATAGATTAGAGGAGAGATAAATAGATAGAGACAGATAGATAGATATATATAGGTAGATAGAGAGAGAGAATATAGGCAGATATATAGATAGAGATAGAGATATAGAGGTAGAGAGAGAGAGAGAGAGAGAGAGAGATAGAGACAGATAGATAGAGTTATAGGTAGATAGATAGATAGATAGATAGATAGATAGAGAGAGAAGAGAGAGAGAGAGAGAGGAGAGAAGAGAGAGAGAGAGAGAGAGAGAGAGAGAGAGAGAGAGAGAGAGAGAGAGAGAGAGAGAGAGAGAGAGAGAGAGAGAGAGGCAGATAGAAAGAGAGAGAAGGAAAGAAAAAGACAGATACAAAGAAACAATACCGAGAAGAAAAGATACAAAGGCCTTGGCGTAAACAGAAAGAGAGACAGAGAGAGAAAACAATTATGAAAGAGAGACAGAGATAGAAATACGAAGCACTGACACACAGAAAGAAAACAATTGCGAAGGAGATATAAAGAAATAGAAACACTAGCAAATCAGAGACAGGGGGGAGAAAACAATTATGAAGGAGAGACATAAAGAGAAAACAACTAAAAAACAGAGACAGAGAAATAGAAACAATAACGAAACAGAGACAGAGAGAGGCAAAAAAAAACATGAAACAGAGACAGAAAGAGAAAACAATAATAAGGATAGAGACAACAATGAGAGAAAACAAATACGAAGCAAATACATAAAGAGAAAACTATTTCGTAACACAGGCAGAGATAGAGAAAACAATAACAAAAGAGATACAGAGAGAAAAACTACGAAGAGGACAAAGGGACAGAACAATAACAAAACAGACACACAAAGAGAAAACTGTTACGTAAGAAGGAGAGACATAGATACAGACAAATAGACAGGCAGGAAAAGAAAGAAAGGAAATCAGAAAGAGAGAGAAAGAGAGATATAGAGAAATCACAAACAAAACAGAGAAACCCAGAACGAAAAGAATTGCGAAGCAGACGGAGATATAAAAAAACAATAACAAAACAGGGACACGCAGAAAGAAAACAACAACGAAACGGAAACAAAGAGATAAAAAACAATAACAAAACAGAGACAGAGAGAAAACAATTACGAAGCAGAGTCAATGAAAACAAAACCGGGTCCCCAGGCGCCCCTCGTTGCCGGGTTGTTGACGCGTCCGCTCACCTGATGTAAACAAGGTCACCTGCTGATTCACCTCTGATGATCGGTTCAGAGGAGCCGACCTTGCTCTTGCAATTGCTCGACGAGGATCTTCAATATTGCATAAGAGGATACGGATTCTCAAGGCACAATAAGCCTTCCTGCTTGATGCCTTGCCTTCGGTGCTTGCTCAAGGAAGTGCTGGCTAAATGTTGACTTTTTTTATAGTCCTTTTTTAACAAAACTTTTTTTTTTTTTTTTTTTTTTTTTTTTTTGACAATGACTTCTTTTTTTTTTTTTTTTTTTTTTGAGTGACACCATGATTCTTCCTGTTGTTGTCTCTTGGTTGCACTCAATGTTGGGAGAGGTCATGCTCACGGGGGCGTAAGTTACTTGTGGAGTGTTTGATGCTCGGAATTGCATTTTATGATAACTTGTTGAATGTAATTATGGAACACGGAACCACACAGATTCATACATACACTATATATACAAGGAGAGACATAGATACAGACAGATAGACGGGCAGGCAGAGAGAGATAGAGAGATAGAGAGAGAGAGAGAGAGAGAGAGAGAGAGAGAGAGAGAGAGAGAGAGAGAGAGAGAGAGAGAGAGAGAGAGAGAGAGAGAGACAGAGAGAGACAGAGACAGAGAGACAGAGACAGAGACAGAGACAGAGACAGAGACAGAGAGACAGAGACAGAGACAGACAGACAGACAGACAGACAGACAGAGACAGACAGACAGAGACAGAGAAGAGAGAGAGACAGAGACAGAGAGATAACAGACAGAGAAAATAGACGGACGAAAGACGCAGACAAAGATACAGGTAAAGAGAAAGAGAGAGGCAGAGAGAGACAAACAGACAGACAGAGAGAATAACAGACAGATAGAAAAATAGACGGACGAAAGGACGCAGACAAAGATACAGGTAAAGAAACAGAGACAAGAATCGACAGACAAAGAGAGAGACAGAGACAGACAGACAGAGATACAGAAATAGATAGACAGACAGACAAAGAGACAGAACAGACAGCAGATAGACAGACAGACAAAGAGAGACAGAAACAGACAGAGGCAGATAGACAGACAGACAAAGAGAGACAGAAACAGACAGAGGCAGACAGACAGACAAAGAGAGACAGAAACAGAGGCAGATAGACAGACAGACAAAGAGAGAAAGAAACAGACAGAGGCAGACAGACAGACAGACAGACAGACAGAGAAAGGAATAAAGAGCTGATTAGGCAATGTTCACTGAGAGTCTGCCTTGTCTGGCGTTATCTTAAAAAGTTTATTATCAAAAATCACCTCAAACGCGCATCACATAAAGAGCAGAATTGACTGGCGTCCACATTAAAGCTCATCCTTTGACGCTGTCTTGCCCTTGTTCTTCTTTTCCTTCTTCTTCTTCGGATTCTTCTCTTGTTTCTGCGCGTCGTCTTTCTTGTTCTTTTCCTTCTTCTCCTTTGCTTTCTGCTCTGCTTCGGCTTCCTCTCTCTTTTC